ATACCATAGAACATTTCGGAAATGTGATCTTATATCAGCACGTGCGACACCACGTACTCTTGACTCTTAGTAGTAAGTGTTTTATTACGATAAGACATCAAGTATGTGCTTTATCACGATAAGACATCAAGTATTTTATTTTATCACGATCATTCAGCAAGAATGTGGATGTTGATGATGTTTTAAATCTTTCTAAAAATGATTTGATACGTTGTGAATATGCACTCTTCATTAAAAAAGTGAACTAGGCTAGTGTTATGTGGGAGAATGTGTGTGTGTGCGTGTGTGTGTGCGTACAAATACATTATTAGATGGATCATATGTGTGAGTGTATGTGAATATCAGTGTGCATTCTTCTTTTATTTCTTTGAGGCTTTCTTCTTTATTTTGTTGATGTCTTCATTAATGATCATGTAAACAGCTACAATTACTGCGATCTGTTTTTGTTATTTTTGTAGGACATGAACGTCGTGTGCTAAATTTAAAATTTTGATGTTTATTACCTACGCTCTGATTCACATAAAAAAAACTAGGTTGGTGTGAATTTTGTTTCTCTGATGACATAACTAAATTCACTTTTTTCGGTAATGACTAGTCTAGTTCTTATTACAGCAAACATGTCATAGGGACAAAGTAATTACCATTGAACATAATCCATTATATGCATTTCCGTGCGACAGTCTTGTCTGGGCGCAATATGCCGATTGGTCCCACGTTTCAGGCTGGTATCTCAGTAAATACACACTGAAGTCCTATAAGGAGTGCTTACGTAGATAAAGCGTTCATCTTCAACTCTGATCATGAAAATTAGAGATATCGTGGTGTGTACATTCTTAACAGCCTTTATCCAAACACATTTCAGCCACAGTTCATGAAAGTAACGTACATATATGCCAACTTTCTCTCTACTGCACATGTTGCAAACGCAAACGACTTCACCTCAAACCTCTCAGTCTCTCAGAAGTTCATAATATCCGTAGAGACCCCCCTCTGAGATTACAAAAGTATTATTATTGCATGGTTTAATTTTGGTTGCATAGATGAGACATCTGCAGGCATCAAAACTGTTGCTTTAGATAATTCACTGTTTTTGCCCACAATAGTAGCAAAGCCTCATTCCAGCCCATCCCCCTCCCCTAAGTCCCAAAGCGAACAGTTTTACAAAATGCACAGTTTATATTCTCTACAAAGCAACCAACTTATGCTGAACGACTGGAATAAGAAAACTGCTGCAATTATTCCTAAAATGTTATTAATAAACTTTACAGCTTCAAAGGAGATAAAACAGATCGGGTTCAGCCACTCCGATGGCCTAAGTCGTTAGCGTTCGCCTCGGGAGCGGGTTATCGCGGGTTCGAACCACGGTCAAGTCATAGCAAAGACATAAAAATGGTACCAACAGCTGCCTGACTTGGCACTCATTTAGTGTTAGGACTGGTCGGCCTGGTGTCCGGATAATGTGACTGGGTGGGACACGATGCTAAATGTCTGCGGTATTATGTCCCAGCCCTAGACATTTGTATAAACTGTCATCGTAGTTATGTGACTAGAATTGTTTTTAAAACTATGTTAAATCTCTCTCTCTCTCTCTCTCTCTCTCTCTCTCTCTCTCTCTCTCTCTCTCTCTCTCTCTCTCTCACACACACACACACACACACACATGCGCGCGCACGTGATTTTTAATTTTAAACAAATTGTTATACATTTAAGGTTAAAGATGTCGAGGGAAATATTTTATGTCGAGATCATTAATATTATTTGGTTTTAATGATGTCACTGAGATTACGTTTTCTTCTATGACGGTAAAATGTTAGTCAAATTTTAAAATACAAATTTTGCAGCACTTGTATCATTGTTGAAGCAGATAAACGTGGAAGATGGTGCAACACGTTATTGGTACTTGGATTATTATAACAGCCGACAAATTGAAATTTAAATGATTTAAATAAAGTTTAAATTTATTTAAATCTCGGATGGACTATAATATATGCCAATATAAACTTTTGAAAAAAAAAATGTTTTCAAAGAATATGCTAAACTTGGATATTTTGTTTTATTCTACTCAACAAAAACGCAGTTTACTTTTCGTTTTCATCCAAAAATGAAACTTCAGTGTGAGGAACAATATAAAGAAATTTTAATTTTCATTTGTAAATGTGCTTTTATAAAGGCGAATATAAATTCATCGAACGTAAAAGATTGTTTACAGTATTACTAAAACAATTTAAACTATTTTAATTGTTTTTCATTTTCTGTGATGCCATCAAAACCAGCAATGGTGGTAAGTTTATGATTAGTTACCTCCCCTTAGTTGACATGCCTGTTTCCACTGCAGCTTTTGATGAAAAAATGTAACTTTTTTAATTCTTGTGCGTATGCTTCGGTGTCAATTTAAGAACTACATAAATAAATATTATATAAGGAATTGATTGATTGATTGATTGATTGATTGATTGATTGATTGATTGATTGATTGATTGATTGATTGATTGATTGATTTTGAAAGGACACAACACGTAAGCATACACTAGAGCCGCTGTTGAGAGAGGCTGTTCAGTGCGAAAACATGGAGTAAAATGCATTGCACAAAGACAAGTACACTAAGGCTGTCGAACCAGTCATATCTGGCCGGGTGTCGAACCAGTAAATCACTGATTTGGTGTTAGACACGCGAGCCATTGGACAGATACTAGCTAATGCAGTTAATGCGTTTGACTAGAGTCTAATTTTGATCCATCTACGGTCGTAAACTCTGCAGGCTGTTTTATTTTTAATTTTGTCAAAGTCAGGTTATTTCGTTGCATTGTTCACTGGCGATTTTTCTAAAGAATTTCAGAATAAGTTTAACAAATACAAGTACTCAATTTGGATAATTTTGTTAAACTTTCCAGACGCTTAATGAAATTTAAAACTATGAAACCTCCTACAGAGCAATATGGTTCTAAGTATCCACGCTCTGTGTCTCTTCCATATTAACATATCAGCCCCACCCCACCCCCTCTGATTATAGAGAAGAATGGCATACGTTAAAGTTAACAACATTAAGAACTTATTTTGTATATCTGCCAATTAGGTTAATATGTGCAGGTGAGAGTCGAGTTTTCACGCTAACAATAATTGATGTCTGCATGAATATTTTCTTTTTGCATTGAAATATCCCATCTGGCTTCCAAAGAGACTCGGTGCGAAACTTTGGCTTTGATTTCCGCACTCTCAAATTAACGTGTTTTTTTTGGTGAATACTAAAACAATGTAATGTTTGTGGATAAAAAAGTGGAATGTGTGTATTTTAGATACAAATTATCCTGTTATGTGCTACCATGTGTTCTTTATGCTAATATTGTTCACCAAAGAATGATCAATTATCCGTATTAGGGAGTACGGATAATTGACTTTTAACTATACTAATCAGTGTTTCTTTTCTTCTTTGAATAAAAGTGAGTAAAATAAACTGTTTGCAATGACCTGGACAGTATAATAAGTCTGAATGAAAATACGTATCTAGTTTTCTTCGTGTCTTCAAAGGTTTGTTAAAAACAACCTATGTCTGTACTTGCATACAAGACTGAGTCAACTGCAAGGTGCATAGACATAGCATAATGCACCCGCAGGACTGTATCTATGCTTAATGCACCCGCAGGACTGTATCTATGCTTAATGCACCCGCAGGACTGTATCTATGCTTAATGCACCCGCAGGACTGTATCTATGCTTAATGCACCCGCAGGACTGTATCTATGCTGTTCGCATTTGGACTACCTTCACATGCTCCGTTCCTTGCGATTATAGCGACTTTCAAGTCGAGTACTTCGAAGGATACCGCTGTATTGGACACGTGCTGCTAATTACACAATTAGCTGATGAAAGACTTAATCCAGCACGGATTGATTTAAGCTTCATTTTGCACACTTCCTCTTTTCGAAAGCAGCTCGTTTGCAAAATGTATCTCATCACACGGAGTGCATCAGTAGAAAAAAACGAAGAATGGAGGCATTATCGGTTCTACTGATTTACCCATGATTGGCGTATATAACATGATTTATTTAAAGAGACAAGGGCATTTACTTCTCAGGTTTTAGGATGAGCAGTTATTGCTTTGTGTAGCGGATACCTACCTACCTATCTACCTACCTACCCACCTACCTACCTACCTACTTACATACCTACATACATACCTACATACATACATACATACATACATACATACATACATACATACATACATACATACATACATACATACATACATACATACATACATACATACATACATACATGCATGCATACATACATACATACATACACAAAAACTCATTGAAATCTGCTCTAACAGGCACGATTGTAGAAAGGACACCTTTATTTGGAAGCTACTCGACCCAGGGACGAGTGCATAGTAAAGTGCTAATCGTCCCAGCCATTTCTATAAAACCCAAAATGGTCTAATGGATGAGTAATTTTCCTGGATCATGCTTTAAAATTTACCAGCAAGTATAAAACATGTAGGGTATATAATTGCGAATTTGTGTAATTTCATTTTCTTCAATGTCGAATTTTAAAATTTTGTTTATCAAAAATTATTTTTAAAATACTTTTGTTAAAGGCATGAAAACTGATATTCGAATTAATGTATAGTTGTAGTTTTCTTGACAAGCAATACAACTTGTGTGTGTGTGTGAGAGAGAGAGAGAGAGAGAGAGAGAGAGAGAGAGAGAGAGAGAGAGAGAGAGAGAGAGAGAGAGAGAGAGAGAGAGAGAGAGAGAGAGAGAGAGAGAGAGATTTGGATTTGTAACGAAGATTTAAAAACAAAATATAGTCATATCTCTACGGTGTCTGCAGTTTATAGCGAGGTCTAGCACAGGGGCATGATACCGTACACATGTATCATGATGTCTCACCCATTCACACTATCCTGATATCTGGTTGACCAGTTCTAATACTGAGCTCTTAACATGCTGAGTGCATAGATAGGCTGCTGTTAGTACTATTTTTATGCCTTTTGGTGTAATTAGGCCGGGGTTCGAACCCACGACCTTCTGATTCGGAGGCGGACGCTCTAATCACTAGTTTATAACAGCGGTCTTGATTTTTTTAATTATCAAAATATATGTAATGTTATAGAAATAGCCTAGTACTACAGTACATGGTCACAAGGCAGGTCAATCAGATGTGTAAACAACGGGTAGAGGCACAGAACATCGGTGTTTTTTTTTTACAAAGAGAATTATTTCTGTGTGATAAGCAATAAGGGATAACAATTAAAGCTTTCACAGGATTCTTTTAATTCTGGTAGATCTAATTGTCTTTTTTTTTGTTTATCTCAAGCTATGATCAAAAATGGGAGAAAACTTGTTTACATTAAAATAAATTAAGTAAAATAAGGCAGCCTGTGTAGCAAGACCGAACAAAAGCAAGCAAAATCAGGTGTACATTTTAATGATTAAATGATAATGGCGTACAAATTCAGGTATTTATCGTGCATATCACACAGTGACATTTTGACCACGCCACTTGAATTTTTTGTTAGTGACCCTAGATTTCAGTTAAATGGTTAATTAGCAAACTTTTACCTTCATGGTTAATAAATTAGACTTTAAGTAATGATTAGTTAATTAGTCTGCTTAGAATTGGAGATAAAACATGTAATTGTATTCATTATATTAGGAAAATAAATTATCCAACCCAAACACCACCCCAGACAGACAGACAGACAGACAGACAGACACAGCAATTTCTATTGAACTTTGATGTAGTTTTGTTTGTTTTATGTCTAATTTCGTTGAAGCTGGTCCTTATCAGTTGAACATGTGTTTACCATTGTTTAAAAGTGCTCAAATGTACAGAGACATTCAAAATGTAATAAAACGTATCTACTTGACAAAATCTTTTATGTCAACGTTCTTCCTATCACCGTGTACATAACGGCAACAACGACTTAAAGACCGCTCTATGAGACGTGCTTTCACCGAATCTTTGACATGTGTCTTGCATAGTAATGCATACGTAGATCATTATGGAAGGACTGATAAAAAAAAACTTTAAAATGAACGAATAATTGAAGCCACCACAGACTGTGTATCTATTGTTTATGTATTCCACGGTTCACATCGCTATAAATGCAACGTTTGGAAACCAAGATCTGATAACCAGGCATGTTTTAACGAGACAGACCTTTGCTATAATGTAAATCGTGCCGGAAGCTACTGCAGTTATTTTACATTGAAAAGCTTTCAAGTGCGGGGTTACTGAAACTACTTATTAGTAAAGACATGATTGTTACTTGTGATCCAGCAATAACAATTTACGAATTGTGATGGATGCCCGTTAAAGCCTATCTTCAAAAGTGATGCCCACTGAAAATATAAAGGTTACGTAGTTTGCAGCGTGTACTCGTTTGTCGGAGCACTATGCAAACTTGGACCGCGCCGTTGACCTAAGAATTAGACCACTAAAGATTTTAATGTCAGCTGGTCGGACTAAACCACGTGACCTCCTGGGTGAAATGTATTGTGCCGTATTTAAATAGGCATTTGAATAATTGCCATTAAGCCCAGCCCACATTCATTTACTTACAGCCCCGCCCATACTTATTTACTTATTTAAAGCCTTGCCCATACTCACTTATTTAAGCACAGCCCCGCCAACACTCATTTACTTAGCAAAACGTCAATAAAACATTCAATATATTACATTTTAAAATTCAAGACATTATTATGAGGAAAATCATAGAAGTTGTTTCTGATATATTTTGGTTGACAGACATATAGGAAACGTTATTTTCACATGTCCCAGCCCATCTGACGGCCAAGTCACATTTTCATGCACTTTTTGATGAATCATTGTTCATCCTGCTGTACTGCTGTCTGAAACGCGAGTGAGAGTGAATTGGAGTCAGTATAAGCAAAGAAAAAAAAAACAAGATTTAAAAAGTTAGAATGCACCCAGCAACTGAATTTACGGATTTTATGTACGGCCTACGTGAAAACTAGGCACAAAGTAGAAAAAGGCAAAACGGACATTTCTGTATAAGAATGGATTTTATGATACCTGAAAACGTAATTGCAGCGATGAATTGCTAAAGTCAATAGATTATTTATTAGATAGACTTTTTAAAAATGCTTTTTAAATACTTTTTCAAAGTATAGAGTCAGTAGCTGAATACTATAATACTGTAATCTAATGAATTCCTTTTTGAACATAATTGATCGGATCATCCACAATTCCACCCTTTGATATTATTGATCCAGAGCTATTTTGTTAAAATTTTATAAGCAAGTTTGATAATTGTTCTTGCTCGATCACACGATAATGTTGCTTTTCTTTAAGATTAAACTCCGACATACGTTGAATGAATTTTATGATTACCACACAAAGAAAATACAAAGCTGCTGGTTCAGATGAGATAAGCAGATTTTTTTCTTATTTACAATAAAATTTTCAACTTTGCAAATTCGTATTTGTCATTTAAATATGTAAATCAATGAAAACTGGCCGGTGTTATCCCTTGTGACTAACATTAACCAAATTTTCGATTTTTTTTTAAATTTATGTACAATGAAAATGATTTTGACTATAAATATCAATTCCATTTTATATCTGATCATTCATCCATGACAAATCAAAACCTTTGATAGAGAGTAACACATGAAATTAATTCTTAAATTGAAAAGTTAACTGAACACTATTGTAATAGATCGATGATTACTTAGGGGGGCCTCCATTCTTAGTACTTCTTATGGAGTGACTGACGTATGGTGAAGTTGTTTGTATTTACAACATGCAGAGTGGATAATATGTTGGCATACATCTATATTACTTTCATGTTCTTTCGCTGAATGTTCTTTGAGTATTTGTGGAAATTGTACATGGTCTAGGCACACAGCTTACCATAATGGCTGCTTCTGTGTGGTAGAAATATAAGCCTGAATTAGTCCTAAAGTATATTATCTTTAGATGTTATTTTTGCTTGACTAGACAATACCTGTTTTTGAAGGTGCAATGAAGGAATTACGTAATATATTTTTAAAAACTATATTACCAACGTTGTCTGCTCATTGATTACAATTTACCTTTTGAAATTCAAGAAGTGAAAATTACCAAACGAAACTAGCAGACTGTCATTCAGTGTTACATCTGAAGTAAGGCCAAGCTGTATACTCTATAACCCAAATTACACCCATCGACTAATCCAGTTGTCATTCAGGACGTATTAATCGATGATCTTAAGAAAATATTGCATTGGACAAATGTCTGGCTTGTTCATTTTAAACCCTCTGAGAGAGTGTGTTTTTTTTTAACAACGGAAAATTTAAATACTTCCACCGATCTTGAATTTTCAGGTGGAAAAAATACTTTTGTCAGATTTAGATACAGGAATTATCTTACCATCCAGCAATTTTTGGTGCAACCAAGTGTATTTTATTATTCATTCTGCACTGTTGTGTATTTGGCAACTGAAGAATTTTATATAGGTGTTATCCAAATAGTATCTGAATAAGATTTAGAATTTATTTAACCTACATTAGCATATTTCTGAAAATTATATCGTTCTATACTATGATTTGTAATAAAGTCGATATGTTACTACTTCAAGATGCCGATTTGTTCCTGGTCTTTCAAAATATGAAAATAGAGAAGTACTCTATTTCGCAACCTAATGGCGTACTCTCTCGGAACGTATAAAATAAACAAATCTCTGTAGTTTTGTCAAATACAGGTTATAAACAATCAGTCGGTTGATTATATACTTGATTTATTCTCACCTTGTTCACGAAACACAGTGTCTTATAGTATGAGTAACTCAAACAATATCATTCAGTATCGACGTAGAACTTGCATTAAACTTGTTTTTAATAGCAACACATGTTGATTATGTATTGATAAAACAGCTCCTCTGTGCAGGTCTTTACAACAAAGTTACAGATAACGAAATTTCTATTCCAAATTATTTGGCACTTGGTAAGATGCAATCTCATGTACTCTCAAGCAGATTAAGACACAATACAGATGTAATGTTATCACGGAGCCTTCGTGTTCTTGCATATTTCCGATACAACACGACCGTCTTTTTTTAATGCTGAAATGAGCTTTATCGCAGATGTTAATATAATAATATAATGTTAATTTTTATTCTAATGCATATTTATCTCGTAACGAACTTTACAAAGCAGAATTATTCATTGTGCTGAAAAATCAAAGTGCAGAACTTTATAATTTCAAAAACAGATTCATTAACACGATCCTCTCTCTCTCTCTCTCACACACACACACACACACACACACACACACACACACACACACACACACACACACAGGCTCGTAGCATGATGTCCCACCCAGTCACATTATCCTGACTCCAGGCCGACCAGTCCTAACACTTACCTCTTGATGCTGAATGTCCAAGCGAGGCAGTTGTTAGTACCATTTTTTATAATGTGTTTGGTATGGCTCGGTCGGGAATCGAACGCGCGACCTTCCGCATCCGAGATGCAAGCTCTAACAGCTAGGCCACAGGAGCGGTTTCACCTAGAGAAGAGAAACGCTTAGCTTACAGTAAGGAAAATAAACAAGAAAACTTTTTGATCCACCATTTCAATTACTAGTATGTTGTATCTTTTCAGCAACTGTAACGCACTATCATCTTCCGATGGATACCATCAGTAGAGAAACACTAGAGAACCCTTCTGGCCTTGATGCCAGGGTTAACGGCCAACCACAGACTGATTTGGGTGTTATGAAGAATTCTCTAAACATTGTTGGAAAAATGCAGTGGATTAAAGTCAGTGGACCAGGCCACAGAAAAGAATGTTTTGGTGATCTTGACCTCTGCACTCTGGGTAGGTATGATCTTGAACTCTAGGTAGGTGATACTATGCACACAATGTAGGCAAGGTTATGCACTCTAGGTAGGTAATACAATGCACACAATGTAGGCAAGGTTATGCACTCTAGGTAGGTAATACAATGCACACAATGTAGGCAAGATTATGCACTCTAGGTAGGTAATACAATGCACACAATGTAGGCGAGGTTATGCACTCTAGGTATGTAATACAATGCACACAATGTAGGCGAGATT